CCCTGAGTCCCTCCTGGAGAAGGGCGGCATACAAATAAACCAAAACTAAACTAAACTAAACTAAACTAAATACTTGATTTAATACTTAAAATATAATCTATCCTTACAAAATGGATTCGTGATATAAGGTGGCATACGCAGTTCTCCCCTATCCCATTTTTCTCACAGCAACCACCCCGTGGAGTACATAGATTGGGCTGAGAGATTGTGATTACTCCAAAGTCATCCATGAGCTTTTGAGAGTGAACTAACACCTGGCTCTCCCTGCTCCTAGATCAGCACTTGTATCATAAGTGGATTGAGAGTGTAATGAGATTCCAGTATTGCTCAAATATACCTCTCACCTTTTTTGAGACAGGATAAATTAAACAAACCTGACAACCTTCGTTCAAAGCTTGTCTTTGTAATAGGATTTTTAGCTTGTTGCTGACCAAAGATGACAAGAATCTGATGTTCTTTATTTTTTTATTTAAAATGAAACTTCAAGTTTCTCCTTAACAAAACTTAGTTTCTGGAGAGATAATCAGCCTGTTTACTCTTGTTTTTCAGGTGTTAAATAAAACCAAAGAGTTTGAAGATGCTGTTAAAAAAGTAATTAGAGATGTTAACTTAGACAACGACATTGTGGTATCAGTGTTTGAAACAAACATTAGAGTGCTTGGGTAAGATTTATACCGTGGTCTCAAATTAAATACACCTATTTCTTAAATTTTTAAGCATAATAGAGTTCATAGTTTGTAAACCTATTGTTTGTAAATTGCATTTTCTGCATTACTTTCATTTATCTTCATTTATAAACACTTTTTAGAAGTAAGTTGTATTTAAATGTTCTACAAACTATTTCAGTTTTTCAGCACTTATGCTATGCTTAAGGCTAGTATAACTAATTACTAAATATCATTAGGGATTGGAAGCATTTTGGAGAATAACGTTCTCTTCTTCTCTGCTTCCCCAGTCTTTGGTTCTCTGCTAGATCATCATTCGCTAAGTTGATAAACTTACTGACTTCTCCCTTTCATTTTATCTAGAGGTCTTCTAGGTGGGCACTCAGTAGCAATCATGCTGAAAGAGAAAGGGGAAGTCATGCAGTGGTACAATGGAGAACTTCTGCACATGGCAAAACAGTTAGGCTACAAACTGTTGCCAGCTTTTAACACTACAAGTGGTCTCCCATATCCAAGAGTAAGTAAACTGTGAGCTAAGACTAATGTATGCCATGTATTATTTGCTATTCCAGTATGATAACATTACATGTTGAGTCAGAGCAGTGGTGGGTTTCAAAAATTGTTCGAACCTACTCTGTGGGTGTGGCCTCCTTTTTGGGAGTGGCTTGCTGCCCATGTGACCGGATGGGAGTG